CTTAACTTACTGGAACAAGAGAGCAACAAAAACTGCTTAAGAGATGGAAAAATTTTCCTCGCCACAGAGACCAAAAAACCTCCTCAAAGGAGATCAGCCACATTCGATGGCAGCTCTTCGACGACCACATTGTAGAACTTTTGTATATCAAACAGCATCCTCTCATCATCCTTTGTCACAAAGTTTATGGCAACACCTTTTCTTCCAAAACGTCCACCACGTCCTATACGATGTAGGTAATTCTCAGGTTGGGTCGGCAGATCATAATTTATGACAAGTGAGACTTGCTGCACATCAATTCCACGAGCCAAGAGATCGGTGGTGATGAGAACCCGAGAAGACCCGGACCTGAACTCCCGCATGATTATATCACGAGTATTCTGGTCCATGTCACCATGAGTAGCAGAGACAGTGTGGTCTCGGCTTCGCATTTTGTCAGTCAGCCAGTCCACTTTGCGCCTAGTATTGACAAAAATGACACTCTGGGTGATGGCCAGGGTTTCATAGAGATCGCACAGCGTTTCCAGCTTCCATTCTTCCTTCTCGACGTTGACATGGAACTGCTTAATACCCTCAAGGGTGAGCTCTTCACGCTTCACCAAAATTCTAACAGGCTTGTTCATGAATTTCCTAGTGATCTCAAGGGCCTCTGGTGGCATTGTAGCCGAAAATACACCAACCTGAATCTTTGATGGCAACAGCTGGAAAATGTCGTAGATCTGAATAAAGAGAACATCAGTATTGCATCACAGGTAAAATCACACTGATGATGTAAAGCATGGTGCACTGCAAGAAATTGATGAGCCTAACCACACAAAAGTTCCAAGAAAAGGTAATCCCTTGATGACCTAAATTGTGCAGGCAGGTCAAAACAGAATTGTAAAACTGAGAAGAAATACACGCATGCGTGTACATATGTTACATGTAAACTATGGTGGCACAGGTCCTTTTTTCGTAACTTCACGACCAGTCATTCAGTACATATTTCGACGGTGAATGCAAAAGGGGCCAGGACTTGTAAAACAACTCCATCATTAATAGCAATTCGTTCAGCCCATTATATCATCATATATACAACAACATTCGCTGATCTACTAGTTGAGGAGATTTTCCAAATGGAATTACTGTAACAGCCAATACTCTACATCCACAGTGACTGCTTTTGCCTTCCATTTTGCTTGGCAGGGTTTATTGGTTAATGCTCACAATTTCCCTTTTACAAATGTTAATACGCTATATTCATGTTACCACAAATGATAGGATATTAACAAATGTATTAAAACAAGTCACTTATCCAGATCAAGCTTCTGATTAGTTCTAAACAAGAAAACTAGAAAAGAACAAAGATCTTAGACCACTGCAAACCTGATCTTTGAATCCTCGTGAAAGCATTTCATCAGCTTCATCTAACACAAACATTTTGATATAATCAGGCCGAAGTGACTGTCTTCGCAGCATGTCAAAAACACGGCCAGGGGTGCCCACAACAACATGAACACCACTTTGAAGGATACGCTGATCCTCCCGAACACTTGTTCCACCCACGCAAGCATGAACCTTCACACCCAAATAGTCACCCAATGCTCTCATGACCTTCTCAATTTGTTGAGCCAATTCCCTAGTTGGGGCCAAAACTAGAGCCTGGCATTGAACAACATCATAGTCAAGTTGTTGCAAGATTCCAGAACAGAAAGTTGCGGTTTTTCCAGTTCCAGATTGAGCCTGTTGAATCACATCAAGACCCTTACAAAATGGCACAATTCCCCTTTGTTGAATGGCAGAAGGCTTCTCAAAACCTTGATAAGAAGATAGCAGGATGAATAATCAATGCGTGATCAACTTCAAATATAACAACCACAGAAACATATGAATTCTTGTCAAGTAGCAGATCGGGATTCGATAACTACATTTTCAGAACGTTACATCTCAGAAAGTCAAAATTTAGCAGAAGGTTCTCAATGATCACACCATCGAGTAATATAGGTACTTGTTTCACAAAATTAAGCAAGGTAATGGAAAATTTGAGAGTAGCAATTAAATCTGTAAGTGGGATCCTCTCTAGACATACCATAAGCATAGATGCCTCTGAGAAGGTTTTCCTGCAAACCCATCGAATCAAAACTATCGTAAACCTCATCATAAGAAGTAAAAAAGTCTTGCCCTTCAGTTGTCCTGCAAACAATTTACGCACCATGGCAAATGATCAATTCGAGCATGAACCGAATTCTACTCTACTCAGAATCATTCGACAAAAGTAGTGTCCATTGCAAGGTCCTTCAAGAGCATCACACGGAACAGAAGGAAAACTTACAGCTCATTAATCTTAGTATCATACTGACGGGGATCAAACTGAGATCCTTCTGGTGTCAAGCCTGCCATGACTGCAGAAAAAAAATGAAAAAAAAAAAAAAACCATTAAAGGGCAAGAAATTCAAGAAACACTTCCACCTTGTAGAGGCCTCAGTTTAATAAGAAAAATAGAACATGGAAAGAACAATTGAATTTGTCTTAGACATCTATACCTACTAAATAACACAGCAACAAGAAGTTGAGTTTTCCTAGCCCTAATTCACCAGGTAAAACAAAAGACCCAATCCAAGACTCGCCGCATCAAGGCACCCCAGTCTTCAACCACCCAAAAAAAAACCCCTACCAGCTTCCAGAACTCCCCGAATCCCCATATCTAGTAATTGAAAAACTGGCTGGGAAACTCGTCTCTGAAGGATTGCCGAACGCCAACACCAAGACACGGTTAAATTCTCCAACTTTGCTCCCCAAAATAAAAAAAGGCGGCATCCCCACGGGCACTAAATCACCCATCCACACAAGCGCGAAACACAGGTAAGCCGGAACGCCTCCGCCCCCCCCTCCCGAAAAATAAGAGAACAAACAAACCAGATTAACCCTTGATCTCAGAACACTGAGATAGCCTCAGGATCCAAATCACCGAAAACCAATCCCCGACAACCATGCCCCTCTCTCCACAAAAGCAGGCCATGGCGAATCAACAGACACCCACTAAACCAAAACCCAACAACAATCGCGCCGCCGCCGCCGCCGCCGCCGCCGGCAGACAAGAGCAACCCCACAGAATCTCGCAATCACCAACCAAGACAGAACAAACGCGCGCGCGCGCGCAAGCTTCAACAGCTAAGCGAGAGAGAGAGAGACCCGAACCTGAGTGATGACGCTGGAGATGACGAGCGAGAGAGAGAGAGAGGAAGGGAGAGGAGATTTCAGCAAACTCCTCGGATCTGAACCGGGGAGTTTGATGAGGAGGAGGAAAGGGGTGGGGGAAAGTCGCTGCTGCTTGTTTTGTTTTATGCTTTGGCAGCGACGAGAACCAACGAAAAGTGCGTGCGACGAACGAGGGTGCGTCGCTAGGTTATTTTTGTAGATTGCGTTGGCGATTCGGCTTTGCTCCTTCGCTTCTTCTTCCCCATTTTACCCCTGTCCTTCTCCCATTATTACCGTTCCTTCCTTCCTTCCTTTTTTTTTTTTTTCCCCTTTGTTTAAGGAGGTATGACATGAATGATCCATGAGTTTTAACCCAACGTATTATATAATCACTAAACTTTTAATTCGTTCGTTCAATGTGATTGCAAATTAATCTCCGGACTATATGATAATATTTAATATTATTCTGTATGACATTAAATAAATTAAAAGTCTATAGATCACATTGCACACTGAACTAAAATTCACGATCAAATTAAAAAAAATTAAATAATCACATTGCATATATAGACCAAAATTTAATGACCATTTGTGTCATTATTCCTTTTTTTTCCAATTATTTTCGCTTTTCCACTTAATTTTGCTCATTTGAGCGAGAGAGTTGTGATAACAAAAGAAAATCAGAAAATATTGTCCTTTTGCTCAATTGATGATCCGGAGAAAAAAATTCTCAATCAAGACCGATTTTATTAAGTAATAAGACACACACCCACGTCTTTTTTTTTTTGGTTAATTTACCCATTTATTTTTGAATACTGAAGAATAGCCCCAGGAAACGAAACATGATCCTATTTTTTTCAACATAGCCCCTAGATGATTCGGCAAGCGTGCAAAAAGCAAAGATAGGCTTAAAGACTTTTGGTAGGTCAAGTGAAGGGGGGACTAGCAGGAAGAAAACAGAGGACTATGACAAGGCCACCTCTTTTCTCAAACCGAGCAAAAGCATAACTTAAGAATTAAGCAATTGGTAAAGGAAGCAGATAACTACAATACAAAATCCTAGAGAAACTAGCATGACCCATCCATTCATTACATAGTATAATCTCACTGGCATCTGCACAGAAGCCACTAACCTTTTAGCTCCTGGAATATACATTGGAGCTATACATCATCTCAAGAAAGGGTGACAGACAAAGATCTATAGATTGCAGAAAGTGACATCCAATCTTAACTGAGATGGAGATGGAGATGATTGACTAGTTCCATTTTTGCAGTATAACAAAAGCAGGGTTTAAATTGGTCGTCCATGATCGAATTTCTGTGCATGCGTATCTGGTTAGGAGGAGTCGTTTCGGTAGATCGAATTCTTTTCGACACAATCAAAATCCGATCCTTATCGTTTCAAAGAGAGTGATTACCCACAATCGTAGGTCCTGATTTCTGCATCATAAAAACTTGACTAGCAAAAGCACGTCAAATTTGTCATCCGATAGTTTTTTCCTACCCTGAATCCATCAAGATGTAAAGGTTTAAAAAAGATCAAACTCAACTAAAAAGACTAACAAGAAATGAAGCTCAACAAATTCCTGATAGCATATTAAAGGGATCTTGATGGAGTTGTTATCCAGCCAAGTGGATTGCAATTGCAGTTTGCAAACCGAGGAGCCAATTATCATTCTATTAAATTCTCTCTTTAGCCCCAGGTGGAAAGAAAAGCTCGCTTAGGATTGTTCTCAATAATTGACGAATAGCTGTAGTTAGCACCAACCTTGAAGGTCAAAGGAAAAACTCGAGAAAAGACTAATCTTCTGAAGCAGAACAAATAAAGAATTATTTACTCTTAAACAGCAACATATATGATTTAACAGATATTCAACCAAATAAGAGCGCTTAAGGCGAGAAAATCCTAAGTATTTTCCATGGAAAAAATTTACAGGCAAGGCAAGTCAGATAATTACAGCGAGTATATAATCCTTTGGAGTTACACTGAATGAGTCACGCCCTGAGAACAATTTCACTTTGCAAACCTGCAAAGCAAAAGCCCACAAGAAATTTTTTCAGAACTCAGAACTGCAAGGGCAATTATAGAGTAAGAGGTTTGAATTTACATTGTTCGTAGATTTCTTGTACTAGCTGTAGCGTCATAACTGCGTCATCTGCCATTTTTGAGACTCGTTCAGCCTCCTTAACAGCCTCGGCAGCCAAAAACGATTTGTTCTCTGCTTCAACAATGTTGTAGGCAGCAGCCATTGCCACCTCTTTCAGTGTCTCATGACTTGACAATGCCAACTGCTGTGACGGCAGGAACCGAACATCCTTCTGCTCAGGGACATTTGTTTTTGTTCCTAGAGGAGCTTGTAGACTGATCTTATAATAATTCTGCACCTGCAGCAACAGTAAGGGAAATCGGATGATGTTACATTTCTGTAAAAGCATACAAAAAATTTGGTAATATCAGCCGAGGGAGGGAGGGAGGGAGGGAGAGAGAGAGAGAGAGAGAGAGAGAGAGACCCACCATCCGTACTAAAGACAAACCTTGCAGCAAATCCAAGCCTCATCAAGGTCAACAATACATATCTACATGCAATTCAATAAAACTCAGATTAATGTGAAAGAAGAAAATTCACCTTTTCGAGTTTGCCTTGAGAAACAAGCCTTCTCAATTTTGAACTCAATAATCGTCTAAAATTTGGCGGCACCTCTTGCCTTTGCTGCATTTTGGCAAGTAAACTAATATTACCACCTCATGAAGATAAGAGCTACCATTGAAGCAGACACAAGAGGCGACTAAAAAACTGACATCATCTCTTTCCTCCTGATAAATCAAATTTGAATAATAATCACCTATGAGATACTAGAGCAAATGTCAGCATTACATGTTGCTTTTGAGATTGATTTACTCCCGTTAGGACAACCTAAATACACAAAAGATCCCACCTTCAACTTAAGAAAGCATATCCATGGTGGTGAGGCATTTGCGGCATTATAACTACTTCTCTCGTCATCCAGTTGAAGCTACACACACGCACCCAATGTATATATAGATGGAGTGCATCCTTTAGAGCACACGTAACACACATCGCGCAAGCCACATGTGCCTATTAACAGAACTTCCTTAAGATATTTGTCGCAGCATTCTAAACTGTGCATAAGAAAACCACCAAATCATATTCCAACATTCCCAGTAACAAATTTTCACGAGTACAACAATGCTGTCACAAAAGATCTCAACTTACCTCAATGAAGCTAACAATAGCACCAATATCGGATCCATTGGGACCTTTCGTGGATGAAAGTGATTCAAATATGAGCGTGTTGTACCTATATATCCAAAAAATTTATCGATGAAAACTTGACAAGCCTAGCAAAGTAATTTATTACCTCGAATTGACAAGAAAAAACTCAACTTGAAGCTTGTAAGAACTTAAAGCATTCTAACTAGAAGAATCAAAAACAGCAACCCAGCAACAATACATAGTCGATATCAGAACATACAACACAAAGACTGTCCTTCAACCTTCCACAAAGTGCCCAGAACAGATGTAGACTATGTGTGTGATACTATTGTATTGTTGTATCATGCACTGTGTGGTTGAGGGACATGCAATGGATGGATGGCCAAATGAGTTCCAAGTGATAATTGTCTTACACCATGCAAAGAACAAAAGCCTACATAAAAATCAAGCAGAAGTAAAGTAAATTTCCATCTAGCAAATGCTCAACCAATGATGAATGCCCACTTAAGAGATTCCCGCATATGCTATTTTCTTTTTTTCCCGCAATGGTCCAATGTGCAAGTTTACAAAATCCGGAGCCAATGCTAGAGGGAAGGGAGTATAAACAGAAAGGATGTAGGTGAAAAAGATTATTGTTACTGAAAAACGAAAGGAGCACAGATACCCACAGTGAATAATTTTTGCCATCTTGAAAGCTATTTGACGAATTGACCATGGCAACATCAGTAGATGCAGCATGAGCTTGTGGAGTTAGAGGTGCAGTACTGGACTGTGGAACGGCCATCAGACTTTTAACTTTTGGCAGCCTTTGTTTATCTTTAGAACCTTGTCCAGAATTACCGACGCTCAAGTTACGCCACTTGTCCTGTATATGGAAGATTAAAGGGTGTAACCGTCGTGCTTTTTCACAAAAAAAATAAGGAAAGAAAAGAAGAAAATTGAATTATGGGATGCGATTATCTCTGTACAAAAGAAAATGAAAAACAAGTTTTCACACTTCATTTCAGCTCAGACAGAGCCAATTCGATCCAGCTATGCATAAGTACATAATTACAGTAATATATCAACACATTGCGTTGTCAACAGCAGCTCCAGAGAAGCTGATATGGCAACAGAGATCCCCAACTTATCTAAATGTGGGATGAGTAAAATCAACTTTATATCGATAATACAAAAATGAGTCTACGACATGACTGACGATCAAATATTCACTTACAATGATTATACAGCTTTGTTCAGCAATACTAGGGCATCGAACAAGGCTTAACATAATGATAGATTCTCCAATTAACTAGCGCGACATGAGGCTTGTTTCAGAATTTCGAGAAGCAACGAAAAACGAAAACAATAATGTTTTAACCCAGTTTTTCCATTGACCGAACTGTGTAAAGGTATTTTCAACAAGAGCTAAAATTCCGTTTCATCAACACAGCAGTCGATTCTCTCCTTCAAACTTCGATCCAAAGCTGCCCCAAACTACATTCGACATCGCCCCCTGCATTAGATTTCGACGACACCATCAAAACTTCGACTTCAACGCGAAACCCGTAAAGGAACTTTTCCTGCTCAAATACAAGACGCTCATCCCCTTTCCCCTGGCTCCGCCCGGATCACTTTCGCAAAAAAAAAAAGCCCGAGACGATGCCAAGTACTCTCCACGGAAGCGAAGATCGTCATCATTCAAATTCCAATCTTCAGCGGGACAGGACGCGACGCGCGTTCGCGCTACGACGAGAAACGCGAGTCTCCGTCGACGTTGACGCGCAGAAAGCCGGAAAAAAGCTAACACCTTGCCGAGCACGAGCGCCGGACAGGAGAGCTCCCGGGAAACGCGCGGGCGCGCCGCCCGAGCGCTCGAAGGGTCGCGAAGAGAGGAAGAGGGGATTAAGGAGACGGGGGCGGAGGGGGGGAGGAGAACGGACCTTGAGGTCGATGTTGGAGCGATTGAGGAGGGCGGGAGCGAACTCGGGGTCCTTGAGGATGTTCTTCCACTTCCCGGGGCCGTGCTTGGCGATTCCGGCGAGGAGGGCCTCCTCCTCATCCTTCGTCCACTTCAGCTTCTGGTTCCCCATCCCTCCCCTCCTCCTCCGGCGATTCTCCGGCCGATTCTCCGGCGACTCTCCGGCGGACGCGGAACGTGCAGTGCAGACTCTCTCTCTCTCTCTCTCTCTCTTTCTCTCCCCTTCTCTTTTCACGGCTTTTGGATGTATGAAGAAGGAGACGGGGCTTTTTGTGTTTTCGGAGCTCCCGCTCGCTCGAGGAGTTGCTCTTTTTTATTTTTTATTTTATTTATATTTAATTCTGGCGGTTTTCTTTTTTTTGGGCCAGCATTTCCCTTTCTAAACTCAACTTTCCCATCAAGGTATTGGTTAAGAATTAAAAAATACGTATTTTTGAAATTTTTTATATTGACTTTATATTTTTCTGTAATTAGCTACGAATCTTGGAGATCAGAGGTGCTCGAAACTAATTGAGTTAATACCACGAAAAACCTTAAACTGATACACTTGTGATAAATTTATCCAAAAACTAATTTTTTTACCAATAAAACTCCGAACTGGTATGCTTGGGGTAATTTTTTACCACAAAAAATCGAAACCGGTACACTTGTGACAAATATACCCTCCGTTAAATTGGATTAATACAACGAAAAATCACAAACCGGTAAACCTGTGATGATCAGAGGGGTAAAACCCTAAATAGATACATCTATCAAGTGCCGCATGTCATCTAACTCAGCAATTTGACGGTAAAATTTAACAGAAACTAACATAAGGTAAATTTATCGCAGGTGTATCAGTTTAAGGTTTTTGATTGTCAAAATATTAGTTTGGAATAAATTTATCATAAGTGTATCGGTTTGAAATATTTTGTGGTATTAACCAAAACTAATTTGACTTTAGAAATTCAAACATTCATTTTTCTTATGATAGTTTTCCCTCTTAAATGGATCACAAATGATTTATTGAGTCAGATTGCCCGTCTTAAGTCTAAACGAGCATACTCTAGAGTATATCTTAATTGAAGGTTCGAAATTTGCGATTGTACCGTTTTGGTCACGGACCACGTAACTCGAGATAGATATATCAACTATCACGTCATGGGAAATCTACTTAATATGAAATAACAAACTCTTCTTATTTAGGATTACCTCTGAGATCGACACATAGCGACACGAGGAATACTTCTCTCATGCTCTTCACTCGTTATTCTTGCGATCAGGATCTGTACTTGCCTCATTGAATACTATGTGTTTTGTTCAACAACAAAAAAATGCCTAGGAATGTTTCAATTTAACAAGAATGTCATAACAATTTATGCAACTCTGCCTATTAAGTTATTAGCTACTAATTTAGAAGATTTTTATTATTTTCTTTCATTATTACTATACACATAAAATTTTCTTATCCGATGTGATAATGACCATTAGCAATTTTTAATTGTTACCGAGTTCCTATATTTTAGGTTACTACGTAATACCAACTAAGAATTCAACCTCTATTTTGTCTAAAGGAGGTAAATTCATATGAAATGGGATACGATTTAACAAGTGATTTTTCGGCCGAATAATTACACAAATGGTAATCGGACTTTAGCACAACGTATAATGTAACTTCTAAACTTTAAATTTGTCCAATATGATCCTTGAATTTTCGGTAAATATTTAATCTAGTCCTTAGAATGTCATATACCCGCATTCAATCTAGTCACCGAATTAATCAAACGACTAAATTAAACACACACTAAAAGCTCAGAGATCACACTGAACAAACTAAAAGTTCAGGAAATCACACCACATATCAGGCTAAAAGTTTAGAGACCAACTTAAAAAATTTAAAATTTTAAAGATCAAATTACACATTGATTCGATTTACGGACCATTCGCGTCATTATCCCAATTTCGCCACCACCAGGAAGTTAAAACGACAGGTTCCTCGATTTGGTAGATTATCGGCCATGGATAACTTCCGGAGCTCAACCTTCTCTCTCCTCCGCCGTAACGAAGCATAAACCCCAGCTCGCCTAGAGAGAGAGAGAGGAGAGAGGAAGTTTTCAATTTCAACGCTTTTCCACCAAAATTCCCATGGTTGCTCGTTTGATTGGTGGGGACGACGAGGGGTGGGGCGGCGGCGATCATCACGTACTCGCGAAGGCAAGATAGGAGGCCGAGCTTTCGGTCTTCCTCCGCGGGTCCTTCCTTCGCTTCTGTTGACTGGTAGGTAGGTGCCGTTCGAGCTCCGCTTGATCGCGCGAGATTTGTTGGGCCGTTCGTTGCTCGATGGAGAGCGTTTTTATTTTTGGCTGAAATTGCATATCTTGCGGTTAACTTTTTTGCTGCATATTCATCGGATTGATGTTCGGTTGATGCGAATCGTAACTGGTGCGAGTTTTTCGATGTGTGGGGTTATTCTTGATTCGGTTAGGTTCTTGTTATGCTGAGATTGAAGGCTAAGTTGTGGATTTGGTGTTGTGTAATTTGCGCGGTAGCGTAAATGTTCACGAGAATTCATCGATCCTTCGCGATCGTGTGCTGGCTTCGTCAGGGTTTCTGGGATTGTAGACGGTGAATCTATGGAAATGCACTAATTTCTCTGCTTCTGTACCGCTTTTGGTACTCGGATGTTGCGCGCCTGGCTGAGATCGGTGATAAAGGAACATTGGGCTGCGCGTGATTCTGCTCCAATCTCATCGATACTCAATACATCTATTGCAATTTCTCATATTGCTCTGTCTTTTTAGATGTTTTCTAAAGTATTGAGTTTGCTAGCCACCTAATGTATCGACGACTTAGTTATTCAGGAGAAGATGTCTCGTCTTTGTTGGTGGGATCTGCTTTTTACTCTTCTCTAGCTCTGTGCTTTTAGAGTTCTTTATGGAACCATATTGACTTGCATGAAATTGTCATGTTACTTAGTCTCTCTCTTTTCTTTTTTGGTTGGATGTAGCTTGATGTTTAACTTCGGGAACTTGGAGCTAGTATAGACTTGCCTGGTATTTGTTGTGTGGTGTGATTTTTCTACTTCTGCAGGACGTGGTAACAAGCATAGAGTGTCTCTCCTATGTTGCAGGTGCTCGGAGGTGAAAACGTTGGCCCCTAGGAGGCTTAAAATCAACTTGTTCCTATACAGATCTGTCAAATTATGGACGAAAGTACTCCGTTTATCCTCTTGTACTTTTGTCGGGTTTAACTCATTTGCTTTGTTTCCGCTGTTAGAAATATTTGAGCACAAGGTTGATGTGAGTCGCAAACTGGTCTCATTACAATCACACTTCCAGAGAAAGAAATAGAGAGTAAGAGAAAAGGAAGACAGAGGTGGAAGAGGAGAGGAGAGAGAGAGAGAGGGGGGGGGGGGGGTGATAGTTGCGAAGACTGCTTAAATGTCCATTGTGTTCATACAGATTATTGACTTCTTTGTGGCATTTGTCTACTGTCATTGTCATATCTTAGTGTCCATGGTGAACCTCAGGCATACTGGCTGGAAAATCGCTTTCATCTTAGCAAGTACCAGACATTCTTCTTTTTTTTTTGGTCGAGAAGTACCAGACATTCTTCACTAACATGAAAATATACTGGAATTACTTTCATCTTAGCAAGTACCCTTCGCTAACATGAAAATATACCTAAGATTGTTTTTGTCATGATTTCAACCCGTGGCAAGATGAATTTTGATTAGTTTCTGGAATTCTTCTTTGAGTGTAGAGCTTTTAGCTAACGGAGGAGACAAGCCAAAAGGCCGCTATACCCTTACTAATGACGTGGGAGATCACCAGTTGGGAATGTATGATAAACCTCTTCCCTATTTTGGCTGGGGAATTGGATGGTTTTGGTACGCATTGCCTTTCCCTCCCGTCCTCTCTCTCTCGCTCTCTCTCTCTCTCTCTCTCACATACCTCTCCATTTTGCAGTCTCCTTGTTGGATTTATTTTTCCTGTTATGTGGTACTTTGCAACGATACTTTACTTCTGCAACTACTACCAAAGAGATCCAAGGGAGCGGGCTGGACTCGCTGCTTCGGCAATAGCTGTAAGTAGAGAGATATAATCCTGTGTTCATCAAAGTGTCAATAGAATGTCCTCTGACGCTCCTTTTAAGTTTAGTGGAATGATGGTTTGAGGAAAATTAGAGAGAGATTACCTATCTTCCTGTAAGAGCAGGAGCAGTTTGTGAAAAATTATGGTTTCTTTTCAGTGTGTATATGTTGGGATCAATGCTGCTCAACCTATGCTTTTTCATTCTTTCATAACCGTGCAATCAAGTATATTATGTCTCAATTGTTTTTCCTTGCAACAACCTTTTTGGAAACAAATTCACATAAAGTTGAAGTACTAGCATCCATCCACAAGTCAAAGTTTTTTTTTCCTTTTGCTGCTTTTCCTCTCCTTATCTTAGTTATTTTTTGCAGGCACTGATATGTACAGTTGCTGTGACGATTGCTCTTGCTGTAATATTGTTGTAGCCCAAGAGTTCAAAACTTTACATCACCTTGTTCTTCTCCAGTTTCTTGCGGATTGCATTGTACATAATGGGCTGCAACTTGGGTTACTGCGGCAGAAGTCGGAGCAACTTAAAGATGGTCACAAGTCCCATCTCTCTGTAGACGTGTGCATAGTAGGAGTTCTGCAATATGTAGCACCATTAAGGACTCCTTTCTTTTGGGGGGAAATCGGGAAGAAGCCGAGGCCATGTATGTTGTAAAGAATGTACTCTATAGGATTGAAAAGTTCTCGCATCTTGAAGCAACTTAAATTTCTCCCTCATGAAAATGGGCTCAAGATCGCTGTTTTTTGTGCTTGTGGTTGAGAGAATGCAAATGCAACCTCACCACTATTAACTCTCAAGTGTGGTATATTCGCAGTCATATATATGCAAGAAAAATTCCTAAAGTTTAGCCACGTGGTTATAAACTCAGGATGAAAGAGTACAGATCGGGGGTTGTGCCATTACTCCTTAGCATTGTGAAATTGTTGCTTTATTGACGAGGGCAGTGCCGTTATCGAAAATTTCAAACATGTGGTTCTATTTTGGCTATCAGAGCTGATGAAGTCATATAGGAGGTACTGCATGAAGTAATGTATGTTAGAAGGAAGAAAGGGAGATGAAAAATATATCTTCCGCGAGTCATTTTCCTGGTCGTCGAGGTCCATATACCGGGAAAATAAGTTGATATGTTCTCCTCGGTTATGGTTAATTTTGCATTTTCTAGAAAGAGACTTTGAGCCTCTGAAAGATGTGGCAGTGACCCGGATTTCGTTCCTAATGTATGATAATCATTAGCGTTCCGATCATGGTGGTGAAAAACGAAATTTGAAATTGGTGTGCGTCAATCTACATTTTCCATCATAACTAATAATGTACAAAGCGCAATGTACATGCATATCTGCACTTTGTAGCTACACACAAATGTTTATGACCCTTTTCGAGCATCGTCAGCGAAGCAGCGCCGGTTGATTAGACCAGCTGGACCCTTTCTCTGACCCTTGTTCCAACAAGAGGGGCCACAGCACAAGAAAGAAAAGCAAGTGCAGGCTGCTGTGGAGTATTATAGGGCAGCAGCTTGACCCTACCGGATTATTCATATGATTCATAGTTTCTCATGAATTCGAACTTTATTGGGGTCCTGTAATCTGTGATGGATCATCCCTTGCTTGCTAGTTGTTTGACGAGCTCCGGAAGCGATTCTTCCTGCTTTATGTTCTGAACCCACCTTGCTTTGATTCGGATTTGTTCGATGCTTTGCTTCAAGTTCATGGCGAATGCGGGAGTTGTTCGATTCGCGAAAAATGCTTCCACTTCGTCGGCCTTCTCGTTGCTTGAAAACTGAAAAATACTCAGGGACAACATAATGTGTAAGAACTCTAAAGTTTGCTTGGATCGACATTATCCAGCAGTGAGCAGCTTCCTAGAGCATGTTATTACTCATTTATCCATTGTAAAATGTGGGCAGGAGGATAACAAGACTATCCACTCAAACTAATAAATGCCAGGAGATTATCCAATTCATACTATTCTTTCTGAAAGGTGGGTCAATTTGGCATGCAGACCAACGGTAGAATATCATGAAGGGATTGCAACCTCATACGCAGTTGCAGAGAGCATTTTCCTGTGAAGTACATCTGAGATTCTGAGATGCAATCTAACAGTCCTATGAGATTCAGTCGCTTACCGGAGCAATGATGTCGGTTATGAAGCGGGTGAACAGCACACCGGTACCATATTTGTTCAAAATGAAGTCCCAATTATCCTGCATTCAGTAGCAAATGCATCAACTGTTCTGATAATGTAGAGAATCAAGATATTAATTGTCTGGTGTTGCTCCGAATTTATCTCAAGATTACGTTCCCTGATCTGGCTGCTGTCATATAGTCGCTCTCAGGGATCAATTACAACTAATGAAATCCTTTCGGGGCAAAGTACATAAATCTTTGTCAAAACCTGGCCCCATTCTTCTCTTCAGAACATATATTTGGCAACAAAATTTAGGACTTGAAATTTGCTTCCTAAATTTCGCTCTAATCCATCATATTCGACAGAATACCAACTGACCATCACATTGAATAGGAAATTTTACAACAGTATGCTCGAAGCAATGGGCTTAGAAGTAGAACTCAGTACCTTCAACCATTTCCATGCTGTTTCACGCCCTTCTAAGCTTATTCCGGAAAATCCATAAATGATGTCTTGATCTCGAACCTAAAAAGATACACAGATAGCCTCAGTTCTTCTCAAGGAAAATCTAGATTGACTTTGATTTAACTTGGACCATTACAATCAGTACCATAGCTGGCAAATATGCAATACCTCATCTGACACTATAAAGTTCAGAATCTCCAATACTATATCTGGGTCCGGAGAAGCTGCCAGATGACCTGCATGAGTTCCACACATAAGCACTTAAAATTACATGTACTCTGTGAACAAAAAAATATAAAAACAAAGAAAGAAATCGGCATCTAAGACAATTCATTAGCCTCGAAAACTTACGCAAAATTCTTTCCTTTTCTTGCACTGTATCTGCTTCTCTGTAAATGCTCAACATGGACTCGAAATAATTCCTGCTCGCCACAGTAGTTTTCCTCATTACGGCAATATAAGCAGCCTGTGGAGAATTTAAAAACTCATCGAGAAGCTGAAGAGGAGTACCTAAGTATTTGTCCTTATCAAATGGTAGACCAATAATTATAGGTTTGGATGGAGAGACAAATTTTCAAAATAAAATTAGAGCACATTCTCTTTTAAAATTGATTAGTACTTAGTATTGAAGAAAAGTGCGAACCCCACGGACAAAGGGGCTGTGTCGGTCTGCCGGTGTTCTTACCCTTTTTGTATCGGCTGAAAGAAGAGGAGTGTTTTTATCCATTAGCAACGACTCAAATCGTTTGATTGCATCATCATGAGTTTTCTCATCACCAAATGAAGCCAAAGCCATAAAGATTTCACCCCTCAAGAGCACATTCAAATGAGGTTCTCCAGACACCGATTCCCAGCCTAATCTTCTGCAAGGAAGAACAGAAAAGTATTAGCAACCCAAGTTTAATTTCGCAAAAAAAGCTAAGCATTATGTCAGTGTTCACATTTTTTGTAACGGAAAAGTAAGAGGTACCAAAACACAAATGTTTCATGTATATGTATTGCATGATCACATTCCAAAAGGGAAAAAAATGAAAAACAAGGAAGCTTGTTTTCACTCTATTTAAACCACATAAGCAAGGAACTACAAGCATTCTCTAAATTGTTGCAAGAGAATTAGTATTCATACAGCTACAAAATCAATTCATCACTGTGAATTAAATAGAAAGCACTTCATCTTACTCAGCAGAGGGCAGGAGGATATTGATAAAATGTTGTCTTAAGTTATCCACTGAATCTGGAAAAGCATCGTAGTATATTTTCACGATATTGTAGCAGACCTGTAGCACAATTTACTGGTGATCAACTTTCTAAGATAGATGGCATATAAGGCAAAGGACTACATAGTTGCAGAACTACTTACATCTATTAAATTTGATACCACAGTATAGTCCGTATCTTTTCTGTATACATCCATCAAGGTGAGCAGAGAAGACAGTGACTGTTTGCCAGCCTGGCAAAGGGCATGACTATCATCCAAGATCCCTAAAAAGGAGTTATTCAATACAGTAATTCGATCTTTGACACTTGCTGACGTTCACAATAAGGAAATAACTGATAGAGAAGCTCATTGGTTATACTGCATTAAAATACCTAAGTGCTAGAGAATGAACTTGCACTTGTTCTATGTAAGACAATTAACAAGAAGCCATATGGCCAGAATAGAATAAAAAGATATACTATGGTCTTGTTAAAAGGAAGATAGTTCTCTATGAACTTTTTTTCCTGGAAAACTATAGAGTCACACAGTTGAATTGACAATTTACACCAAGAGAAAAGTATGTTAATAGTTTCCATGCATTCCATTCGCAAGACCTGGCCAGGGAATTTAATCCTTGCTCTACAACTTCCTGTGCCCTATTGATACTCTCGGTACATAAATAAACAACTATTCAATAAGTTTAAACTAGCATGCAATTGCATCAAACTTGGCAGGATGCACCCACCAAATTTATCTGTTGCAGAGAGGTAATTGCTTTCTATTGCTTTGATAAGCTGAGCTGCAAGCTTGTCCTCGTATTTTACCCTATAAAAACCACTCTGATAAATATTAATCTTGATCCAAAAGTTCTCTTTAAATTTTTCCGGATCCTTCTCCTCCGATAAGCCTAAACTGTTGCTAGAAGAATTGAAAAGGTCAGATATGTCAATTTCTCCGCATTGTGTTTCCAAAAGGAACTTCTTCTGTCTCTCATATGAACCAAGGCACAAGGTTATGGGAACAATCCATAGCCCCTCACCAGCCAATCCAGATAGGATGAACTGTGACTGCAGTGATAAGCAAAATTTCAGTTTTCACTTGACACAAGCACCTAAAATTTAAAAGCATCTACTATGAATGCTAGGCAAAGCATGTCAAACTTGCTTTGAGCTTATAAACATTAAAATAACACCTGTTCAAACTCCAATATATGGCCGTTTAGGTTCACGGAAATGAGTGGGTATCCTTTTTGCTTTGTCCAAGTGTCCATCAGATTAGTTACTTCAACACCAGATTCCTCTGTCAGAACACTCCATAAGTCTTCAGTCTTTGCATTTTTCCATGCATATCTTTTCATGTATGAACTCAATGATTTCTGTTTTCAAGACGCAGAAAGAATTGGTCAATATTGCTGAATATCTCCTTATAGTGTAGCAATCTACTGAAACTTGCACTGAATCGCATAATGAAAAGTATGACTCTTGACTCCAACCATTCATCATCCACGATATGTACTAAATGTTTCAATATTAAAATCCTATTTACAGTAGTGGGATATCATCAGTAGTCTGAGGTTTAAAAAGATTGATTGAATTAGATCTCGGGCACTGAAAATAGCCGGGTTTAGGTTACAGGAAATCAAGTGCTATATCAATATAAAGTATATAAGCTTAATAAAACTCAAAAGAAGTGCAAATAACTCTGTGAAAAAGTTCACTGGCACACAAAGGAAGAACTGTTTTACCTGTAACATATAGACCAAAAAAAAAAAAAAAAGTGGAAGGGAGCAAGAGAAACCACAAAGACATGTCAGGGTACTATACTAAACAGGCCGAGAGTTTTTCTTGATCCTCCGTAGTCTTAACCAACCGCTTTCAGAGAAGCGCTGATGATACATCTGAATTACAATATATTACAGAGAATCAGGTATTATGATTCAGAACCTAGATAGAAACTCACCTGAAATATTGCATCTCCAAGGTAGCTTTGCAACATCTGGATAACAGCTGATCCTTTCTCATAGCTTATAGCATCGAATATCTCAAGAACTGCTCGAGCATGGATTATCTCTACCTAAAAGTTAGCCCGCACGGTATCAACAACGTGAATTAATTGACTAGTACCATGCTTGAAAGTGACTGAACTCATACCTCAATTGGATGTGATTTTTCCAATGAGTCCATATGCAATCCACTAGCAGTGAATTGGAGAAACTGAGTCCATATCTTCCACTCAGGAAACAAATTGTCAGTTGCCATATAGCTCACCTGAAAAAATTTAAAGAGAAATAACAAAAATCAGATTAACTATTTGTTCTCTAGTATTCATCCAGTAGAATAGAATTTAGTGAAGATTACCCATGTAGCAAAACCTTCATTCAACCATAGATGTGTCCACCATTCCATTGTAACCAGATTGCCAAACCACTGATGAGCAACTTCATGCATTGCAACAACTGTGATCTGATCCAATGGTTAATGGATTTATTACGCATCTTTACCCAAATTTTCAGACTAAAAAGAGAGGGTAACATAATTTCAGGTATAGAGAAAGAGGTTGTGCATCACTTCTATATGCTATATCGTTTATGAGTGGGATGCAGAGTAATCCACAGAAATCGGGTCAGGGGGAGAAAATTCCTTACACGTTGCTTCTTAGCAGCTGTGGATTGCAATTCGTCATGGAGCATATCGTTTTCCCGGTATATGATCAAACCATAGTTCTCCATTGCCCCAGCAGAAAATTCTGGGACTGCGACCATATCCAGTTTAGGGAGGGGATAAGGCACTGAGAAGTACCTAAGTAGCACCATATTCACCACGGAAGATGATCTTCTGATTAGCATCACCACCAGAAAAGAGCTACTTGCTTTCTTTATGGAGCGAGCAAGGCATAGACGAAGAGATGAAAGAAACAATCCATTCTTCAATCAATTATATAGCAGATTTAGGACTTATGTCCAGATGGAAACTCATTTACAATTTCTTACCAAATGGCCCCAGGATTTGGGGGGAAATTATCACTGGAGTTTCTTTAAATCGTTCAAAAGGAGGGAAAGGAAAGCCATGTTGTTCGATTTGTTCTTACATGTGCTTTAAATCAGGCAATCCCTATGACTCGGTTCAAGCCTTAAAGAGGAGCGCAGAGGTGTACTATCTATTCTGATGTCAAGAAAAGAGTTCGCCTAGATGCTCACCTAGTATAGAGCTCGAGAGCCTTCACAGCAACGTGCAAGGCAAATTTTCCGTTTTCACTCTTGCCGGGAGGACAATATACACAAACCCTAATCCCTGCATGACAACTTCGAAGTGCCATCAGCAAATGAAAATATTAGTGTCAGCAAATGAGATGCAAGAGGAGCTTTTGGATCTTATGCATACCATCAGCAGTGGTTTCTTCAACAGAATCAAATAAACCAACTACAACAGCCACCAAATAAGTAGACATCATGGGGGATTCTTCGAAATATACAGTCTTAATATCGCCATTAAGCTTTTCCTTGAGAATTGGCATATTGGACAGTGCAGTCAACTTCCGGGGTACATCCAACGTTATTTGGAAGGTAGCCTGTTCAAAATGCATAGATTATGACATCTCTCGCTCTTGAGAAAGTTTATACAAGTTAACCACAGAAAATTATGGTAAGAAAACACAAGCCTTTTAATTTCCATACTGTACAGGGAAAACATGAAGGGACAATCTGCATCAATAAGATACTAGTTCGACGATTCGATGCCACGGGTCACTATCATATGGGAAGTTCCTAAGAGTTCTGCTATAGTTGAATGCTGCCGATCAATTTTATAGTGATTTTCAAATTCATATAGTCCAGGATCGTGCTTTGTGCGAGAAAAGTCAACCATCATATGATACAGGCGCAAGCGCAGTCTGTAACAGACATACTTTAAGAGCAGGTTCATCCCAGCACGGGAAACACCTCCTTGCATCTACAGCTTCAAACTGTGTAGCAGCCATATACTTCTTTTCTCCTCCATCCACATAAGCACTGTAAAACCGGACACGATCGTTGGAAAGTTAATGAAGATCCAAGCTAAGATCAGAAGGGAGTCACATTGAAGGAAAGATTGTATCTTTTTTCAGTCTAAGTATTTCCCAGGACAAATTCAGCTACATCATCATCAAGCATGGTCTATATCTCAGTATGTCCTTGTGTGGAAGCAAAACAAACACTATTAAAGTGAACTATGAGAAACGAGTTGAGGAAGAGAACCATTTATATAAGCCCTTCAACTGAGCATTAAGCATCCCGGAGAACTCAATGGTCAACACTCCTTCGCCGCAGCGCAGCGCTTCATCGAAGGCCAAAACCAGTATCTCGTCCTCATCGTCGAGCACGACGTCGCAGGGACGAATCTCCTTCTGCTCGTAGCAAAAGAAAGACAACAACCAGTATGAATCCCGAAATAGGAAATCCTGAAGAACACGCGATGAAGTGCAAAAATCAACGATCACGCACGTGATCGGCCGAATAGGCGAAGCAGACGTCGCCGATCGCGAGCTCGAGCGCGTTCAGGACGAGGAACTTCGTCCCCTCGGCGGCGGCGGCGGCGGCGACGGCGAGGCCGATGCGGACGACGCCGGAGAAGCTGCACGCGGCGAGGTCGAGCTCCAGATGGAGATCGTAGCGTCTCGGCACGGCGAGCTCCGGCAGCCTGGTGCGGCCCTTGAACCGACCGGCGCTCTGCCTCTTCTCCATGCCGGAGCTCGGAAGAGACGCTGCACGAGAGTTCGCAGTGGAAGATGATGCTTCGTGTGGTGGAGACCGAAAGACTTCGAGCTGAGCAGAGAAGACTTCGAGCTGAGCAGTGGTTGAGCTCGAAGCTCGAGCTGAGTGAGAGTGACGTTGACACGTGACGTCACTTTCTTCTTTTTTTGTTTTGGCGCGGAACGGTTGGACAAAATATCGTTCGGACCGGTTGCGACGATGTGGGATCTTGCCGTAAAGTCCACGTAATTAATGATCGATGATATTGATTCGCGAAAAATGGATGATTGGTAAAATGATTGGTGGTGATATTGAATGACCGAAAAATATTTTTATTGTTCACGAAAATATTTCATACATAAATTATAAATTTATTTGTGACTTATTCATAACTCATTTACTAAATATAACTAACATATATAAATTTTATCCACGTGAGAAAAGTAAACCATCAGCATCATTGAAAGGTGAGACGGTCCCTCTCCTTCCCATTTTCGGAACTTGCCAAACTTGTAGATTAAGAAGTCTTGAAGAGGAGCCGAAAGTTTGAATCTTTGATTGTACAAATTACCAAGTGGCAAGAGACCGACCACCTACATTTCTTGGCTTTTTAGACTAATGTCTCCAATAGAAATGTTAGCAGTTGATGAATATAAAGAGAGAGATCCCCAATTTAGTTCCTTTGCCCTTAAAACAATAGCCAGAATATTTTTCGTTGTGCCCCTCTTTCCTCCTTGTGCTTCTCATCTCATTTCAATTCTTAATCAATAATATCTTTTTATTCCTTTGTTTTTATAAGCAACACAAGCAATTTTTTTTAGGAATATGTTTTTTTCCGAATCATAACAAAAGGAGCTTGAGTATAGGGTGAGGTTGAGCAAAAATGGGTCGAAGGCTACTTGCCAGTATGATCAGTCCTATTAAATCACGTTGAGATGGTGCATTTGTTTCGTGGGAAAACAAATGATTTGAAAAACATATTCTTAATAAAAATAGCTTGTGTCGCTTACCAACACGAATGGGCGGAAAACATTGTCGTTATTCACGAGAATGTCCAAGAATAAATTGTTGCCGATGATGAAAATATTTTTCATAGATTAATCATTTCAGGCAATACGAGTAATAATTTTTAGGAAAATATTTTCCATTTCATTCATTTTCCGCGGAATAATCGGAGTTCAAAAGCTCAATCCTGTTTGTTTAGGATTAGATATTTTCTACGTAAGCAAATGTTTTGATGCAAATTGCTATCGTAAATGAAAAGATCTTGTATTGACGAGAGGTGATTGGTTCTTGATCTGGTCTAGTTCTAAGGTAGAATCGGGAACTAGACTAGGATTCAGACCGGGAGAACCGAACTCGACCATCGGTCCGATCCAATGAAAACGGTCACACAATTTTGGGAACTGGGAACCAGACCAATTGGTCTTAGGACTGGGAACCGAACTCGACCATCGATTCGATCCAATGGAAACGGTCACTTTTTTTTCCCACTACTTGATACCATATGTTTTGAAATTAGAATTACATTCCCCATATCGACTATACATAATCACAAAACACAAGTGTGCAATTCGAGCCAATGCAATTACAAATTGTGTCCTCTATGCCGACTATACATATGTTCTAAAATTGGAATAATATTCCTCATGTTGACTACACATGATCACAAAAAAAAGTATATGTAGTCAGTCCGATCCGGTTCCCCTTGGAACTAGGAACTAGACCGCCTGAATATCGGTCCCACTTTATTGGGAACTGGATTGACACTCGCAAGAACCGAACCAAATTGGTCGGTTCGATCTGGGTAGTTCCTGATTTAAGTGGTTTGTTTTGCACACCCTTAGTATTGACTAATTATTTCAAGATATAAGTAATTATTTTTAGGAAGATATTGAGAAATAAAACGGAGCTTCCAAAAGTAAATAAAAAGCATGTTTTTGCTTTTGATTGAGCAAACCAATCATGGACCGGGTTAAGTGAATATTGGACTGGGCTTTTGCACCGAAGAGCTTTCCATATTTTCTAAGGGAAACGTACATAAAAAGTCTAAAACCTATTGTATTGGTACCGATTTAGTCATAAATCTTTCAATTAGATCAATTTAATCCTAAACCTTTTTACATTGTTACTAATTAGTCAATTTGGTCAATTTAGGTCGGAAATCGCTGACGTGGATGCCGGCGGTCTTATGTGACACCGCCGGCGCTGATATGGACAAATTTTATAATTTTTAAAACAAAATTTCAGATTTTTTAAATATTTTTTTCTTTTTTTTCTCTTCCTAGAACTGGTTGGCCAGTGAGGGCTGCGATGGCCTCGTCGGCCAACAGACAAGGGTTTCGGCCCTTGCCTGGATCTGGGTGAGGGCCCTGCGCCCTCCCCCAGACCGACCAGTTTTGGGAAGAGAAAAAAAAGAAAAAAAGAAAAAAAAACCTGAAAAACATTTAAAAAGTATGAAAAAATTATAAAATTTATCAACGTCAACGCCGGTGGTGCCACGTACGATCGCAATCGTCCACGTCAGCAATTTCGAGCCTAAATTGATCGGATGGACTGAATTGGTACCGATGTGAAAAGATTTATGACTGAATCGGTCAAATTGAAAAGTTTATGACTGAATTGGTACCAATACAATAGGTTTATGACTTTTTTTGTACTTTTTCCTTATTTTCTACTATGAAGCCCAAACGAGGAGCTCACCTTAGCCTCCGATAGGGAGATTTACGCCATGGGCCTGTGATTGTTTTTGGTCGAAATGGGCCTATTATTAGAATTAGCCCCATCAAGAGGACCGAACATGGTCCCACGAACTTTCACTTCTGATGACAAAGACATTTACGGTCGGGCTTTTGCATAACCGGATCTACCGGAACTTCATTTCTTTCTTTCACTTTTTTCGACATAACGGTTGATATCTGTAATGTATGCTCAAAAGGAAAATTATTGATGATTAGATCAATCCCGATATAATTCCGGATGGGGTCGCGATCTATACTCATGCAGTGACATAATTTGGACATTCTTGTCGAATTTTTTACTTATTAGGATAAGCAAATATCGGAGCAAATCAGGTGAAATATACGGATTGAATTTGTTAGATTTAGGGGGAATCGGGAAAATGAAAGGACTCTCTGTATGAATTAGGAGAGAAAGGACACGAACCTGTGAATGTGAGTTTGATGGTCAAAGACCGACCACGAGTCTCGACAGTAGTCGACTGGTTCGATTGAACGAAATCCTAGCGAAACCTCTCCCCGTTCGAATTAAGCATTTCATGTGCTTCATAAGATTCTCAAGTTAGCAACAATAAACACGGCGAGAGCTTGATGCTCCCAAAGAGTTCATTACTTTGATGAAGTTTAAAATCTTTTCCTAGAATCATATTAAAATAGTGCAAGAAATTGCACGTAACAATTATATAGATCCGGAGTCATGATCCGGCCTATACACAGGTTTGAATAGCACATGGCAATTATCGGGAATGTTTGGACATACTTCTCGTTTGAACATTCGAGATTTTAATTTCGTATAATATTAAACTAAAACGCACAAAAGTGTTTGAACATTGACATTTCATGTCACCTACAAGGAGTTAAAAATCACGTGCAACATTTTTTCGAGCGGAACTATAATTCCGGGTCAGACCAAATAGTCCCTCAAAAGTCAACCAAATTTCACGAGAAAACCAACTAAAAAGGCCCTCAACAGTTTAGGACCCCGTTGACTTGACCCGCCACTGAAAGCCCAAAGTTGGAAAAAAACCGAAACGACAGCGACCTCCTTTACGACAAGGCGTTTTTGGACGATCCGTCTTGTCTTTACGAAGCTTTGCTTTCTTTCTTTTTTTTCCATTTATCTTTTCGCGAGAAATGCGCCCTTCGGACGAGGTTAGTTTGGTCACTTCGGCGAGATTCATGTTCGGGCAATCGATTACGTCCAATCGTACGATTCCTTTATTTTTCAAAAAAATGGCATTTAAAAAAAAAATTAAAAATGAAATTATTTTCCAGCGGAGACGGGGGCGGGTGTCCTTGTCGTGGAAGGGATGTAAGAAGGCTGTAATAACGTTAACTCCCAATTACGAGAATACCCTCACCTTTAGTTTCGGGATTTGTCTTCTCCTTTTCTTTTTTCGGTTTTTTTCTCTGTTCTAATATCTCATCCCGTTGGAAAAAAAAATGAATTTTCACCGTCGAAAGCAATAATGGAAATTCCAAAACGATACTGTTCTTCAGCTTATATAATAAAGCTCATTTCGCAAAGATGAAAAATTCGAGACGGCGGGCGTGGCAATCGTGTAAATAAAGCTCATATCGGAGGGCGATTATGGAAAACGCGGTTGATTCCGGGAGCAGCATGGGAATTGCTTAATTAGTCAATGATGATGTTTGTCAATGGCTCGTCTTTTTGAATTTCCGCCGGAACCAGAAGAGAGAGAAAGCTGCTTTCTGTGTTGTTGTGCGTGGGAGACCACATCCGTCCCCACCTCCCCTCCTTCTCTCTCTACACAACCGAAAAGCTTCAAGGCTTTCAAGAGAGAGAGAAGTATTGCAAGCGTGCTAGAGAGAGAACCACCCCCGTGGCGGCACGTGCTTGAGAAGGCGTACGGCGGCGAATCCCAAACGGTGCGCCGAGGAGCGCGGCGGCGAAATCGGGGGAGGGGGGAGGGAGAGAGAGGCGCGAGCTCCGGTTGTCCGTCGGTCGAGGGAGAAGGGAGCAGGAAGGAGAAGAAGTCTGTGTCTGGAGGGAGGTTTGTTGGCTTTGGTTGAGGAGTTGAAGGGGGTGGGGATAGAGAAATTTGGAGCTGTAGCTGTTGTGAATCAGCTCGCTGATCTGCGGAAACTGGGGCTGAGCTTTGGTTCTATTTGATGAGCTGAGGATCGCGGGGGTGTTTGCCAACTAATGGTAAATTGAGTTCTGCTGACTTACAATTGACTGATTGTTTTTCGCTCACATGGTCTTTCGCTAAGCTGGTGATGGACTTATGAGTTTGCTTGACTGGAAGGCTCCATTTCTCTCTTTGTGGTAGTGCCATCTGTTATATGGAACCCTGAATTTCGCTTAAATGGGGGCTGTATTGAAAATCTTTTGTGACCTTTGCTTTTTATGTGGTTAGTTTTTAGGGTGATAGCTTGCATAATTGCGGAGCAGTGGATTGAAGCGGACGATGACGGATGGAGAAATTGTGTCGGGAGATGTTCGTGCGATTAAATGCTGAAGTTAGCATTAGTAATGAGAGAGCAAGGAAAGAAAGAATAAGTCACTTTAGAAATGCAATGTGATGGTGGTGTTTGGCTTTGCACATCGTACATGATAGTGATATCTTCATGGGTGCATGGAAATGAAGTTTGAAATTGATAGAATATTTAAATGTTAAAGCATGCCGTTATCTAATAGCTTAAGCTTTTTGAATAATTGGCATTAGTTTCACAAAATCTCACATGCTATCATAGCAGGAGGTCCACAGTTCAAATCTTTCCAAGCCCCATTTGTCTCCCCAATTATATATGTCTATGCTTAGAATAAGAGCAAAAAACCAGGTTAAGCGTGAGGGGGAGTGATAGAATATTTAAATACTAAATCACGTCTTCATCTAACAGCTTAAGCTTTTAGAACAGTTGGCAATAGCCAATCAATTACCTCATTCCAACACTTTGTTGTGCCTAAACGCCAAGCCAAATACGTTTTGGACAAAACATATAGCTCACTCACGGACAATCTTTTATGAACCATTCTAGCGCCCCTCGGCCCCCCCTCCCAATATAAAAGAAAACCAGATGACGTGAATGATGGAAAAACAGTGTTCATTGAGCACAAGCATTACAAAGTAAATAACGAGAGTCATCGAAATTGAATGGTTATAAATTATGAAAAATCTGATTCCAAACACCCACGATGCTTTTCATTATTCCTCACCTGGTAATTTATTTTGCTTCGTTTTTGGTTTTTTGACAAAATTCTATTGGTCTTTGCTTTATCATTATTATTTGTTGGTGTTCATGTCATTTTAATTTTTTTTATTTTAAAGTAACTTGATATCTCTATCGCAACTTTGCTCCCGCAGGCTCAGCCAGTGCAAATAATTGTGGGTTCTCATGTTTGGGTTGAAGATCCTGTTCTTGCATGGATTGATGGAGAAGTTACTTCAATTAAAGGTCATGAGGTCCATGTCAAGACAAAAAATGGAAAGACGGTAAGTGCATCATCATCAAATGCATGCCATACTCGGAACTGTAAACATCTGGTGGTAATCTAATAGAGAGTCCTGACAATTGCTAAATTTCTTTTTGACAAGTCTCTTCGCAATTGAAAAAAGGAAAGGAAAAAACAATCAGAGAGTCTTTTCAAAATAAATAATGAGCTATTGATTAGAAGAAGTGAGATCGAGAGCGCTTAATATGTTCAAAAGGCTTTAACTGACCATTAAACTTTTAATTATAGAATGAGTACAGTCAAACTAAGCAATAATGCAGGCTTCAAGCAGAATGTGGAATATTACTGTGCAGTTGTTTTGTTTCTTCAATACATCTATCTTTGAAATGTCCATATAAGCAGAGTGAAGTCTTTTCAGAGAGTCTCAGCGACTGAAGCACTCTATGGGGTCTAAATATTGCTCAGCATGATATTTAGCTTTTCTGCAGTCTTGTTTTATGTGGATCTACAACAGTGGTCTTGATTATAGGTATTTTTCGGTATAATGACCAGTGGATTGCACCTGTAGGTCACGACAAATGTATCGAAAGTATACCCGAAGGATACTGAGGCTCCACCTGGAGGTGTGGATGACATGACAAAGCTTTCTTACTTGCATGAACCTGGAGTGCTGCAGAACCTAGCTACGAGATATCAACTCAATGAGATTTATGTGAGCTACTGGCGGTCCCTCACAGGATAATCTTTTAGCCTTGGAGTTTTCTTGCATTACTTTACTGGTTTCAGTAAATAAATTTTGCCTGTTGCTTCCAGACCTACACAGGAAACATACTTATTGCTGTTAATCCATTTCAAAGATTGCCTCACCTATATGACACCCACATGATGGAACAATATAAGGGAGCTGATTTTGGGGAATTGAGTCCTCATGTATTTGCAGTTGGTGATGCTGCATACAGGTGAATTTGGTTCCTAGTTGCGCTGGTGCAACCTTTTCTTTTCCCTCTTGTCTTCTCGCTGATGTGCTGAGACACAAGAATATAGGGCTATGATCAATGAAGGAAAGAGCAATTCGATTCTGGTCAGTGGAGAAAGTGGGGCTGGTAAAACAGAGACGACAAAGATGCTCATGAGATATCTTGCACACTTGGGGGGGCGATCAGGAGTTGAAGGAAGAACCGTGGAACAGCAAGTTCTAGAGGTAGCATAACTTGCCATTTCTTATTTGAGAATGTGTTTCAGGATCCAAACTTATCTCTTTAATCACTATGTGCACTCGAATTATGAACATGGCAATTATTAAGTTTAATTTTTTTTGTTGCAACTGAACATTGCAGTCAAATCCTGTTCTTGAAGCATTTGGCAATGCAAAGACAGTCAGGAACAACAACTCAAGGTGCATCTCAATGTTGCTGTCTATATACTTTGTTTCTTTGCTGTCTATATACTTTGTTTCATTTGGAGATAGTGTGGGTTTACTTCAACAGATTTGTTCTCATATACTTCTCATGATCCATAATGTAGTCGGTTTGGTAAATTTGTTGAGATTCAATTCGACAAAAATGGGCGAATTTCGGGGGCTGCTATCAGAACTTATCTACTTGAAAGGTCACGCGTTTGTCAGATTTCCAACCCCGAGAGAAACTACCATTGCTTTTACCTTCTTTGTGCTGCTCCAGAGGAGGTATTCTCTCAATGGGTTCTGTTGGAAATTTCATATTAAGCTGTTTATATATGTGGCATTTTCGAATCCTGCTACTTTTTTCAGGATGTTGCAAGGTATAAGCTAGGAAGCCCTAAATCTTATCACTACTTGAATCAATCCAGTTGCTATGAGTTAGAAGGTGTAAATGATGCTCATGAATATCTCGCAACAAGGAGGGCTATGGATATAGTTGGAATCAATGAGGAGGAACAGGTCAGCAATTTTTTGTCCTGGCCATTCATGGGATTGATGATCGTTCAATAGATTCTGAATAAGGAAAATTTGTTCAGGAGGCAATTTTCAGGGTTGTGGCAGCAATCCTTCATCTTGGAAACATTGATTTTGCCAAGGGAAAGGAGATTGATTCTTCGGTGATAAAGGATGAGAAGTCGAGATTTCATCTTAATACCACAGCAGAACTTCTTAGGTGTTTTCTATTACTCCACTGGAAATTGTGAATGTGTTGTGGTGATATAACTTCTGTATCACTTCCAATAACTATCTAAAGGGGCTTTATCTTCATGTTAATTAATGGCGTTATAGATGTGATGCCCAAAGCTTGGAAGATGCTCTGATCAAACGTGAAATGGTGACACCTGAAGAAGTTATCACGAGAACTCTTGATCCTGTTAATGCAGTTGGTAGCAGAGATGCGTTAGCCAAGACATTATACTCTCGCTTGTTTGATTGGTAATGAACTTGCATCAAGTTATTCATTTTCTTTGTCTGACTGGTCTATTTAAATTGGTACTCCCTTTTCTACGAATTGCACTCTAAGAAGTCAAAATTTTACAGGATTGTTGAAAAAATTAACCTTTCAATCGGGCAGGATCCAACATCAAAGTCCCTGATTGGAGTTCTTGATATCTATGGTTTTGAAAGTTTTAAATCCAACAGGTAAGTTCACTGACCAAAACTGTTTTACGTTCTTATCCTCCACAGTGCTTGCAAGAGAGGAGCATATATTTTCGATTTGAGTGGGAGCTAAAGCTTTGTTAGATATATTGTGCATAGGATACTCTATGGCAAAAGGCAATAATAATGATGACAGTGAGTTTAAGCTAAGCAAGGCATTGTAGTTTATGTTAGTAGCCTTTATAGGGATCTATCAAAATGAACTTTCATGAGGTTCTTTGTAGAGATGGTAAATTTAGTGAAAATTATTCGACTTATTAGTTTGAAATTTTCAATGGGCTTTCGGGGGAGGTCATTCTTTGGGTTCGCAAAGGACCAGTTAATATTGTTGTGGCAAGTGGCGGTGTTTGCTTTTCTACATAGAGCATTTAGATGGATTGGCAACAGCCACTTGTGCAACTTGCATGGCCTTTAGATCCTTTTTACTGTCCTTTCAATATGTCAAGATACAAGAGAGGTTTACTAGAAGCATAAATAGCATTACCATATTGTATAAGAGCTTGATCCGCGAGAAGGTTGGTGTCGTTCCTCCCTCGATATCTGACAAATTTGATCAACCTCTGCATGTTCATAAGTGAACTCCCTGGTTAACGTGCCCATGTGTTGCCATAAGTTTGCTTTGCCTGGCCAATGCAGATAGCTTCCATGTTAATTAAAACAAGAGATGTTGAGCATGTTGTGTGGGTTATATTCTAATTTGCATTTTTAATTGACAGTTTTGAGCAGTTTTGTATAAACTTCACCAATGAGAAGCTGCAACAACATTTTAATCAGGTTAATTTCATAATTCTGTTTGTTTATCTTGCAAGTTTTATAGACTTCATGCTGATTTTGTTTTTGTTATGTGTAACCAATGTGCAGCATGTCTTCAAAATGGAGCAGGAAGAGTATAGTAAAGAAGAGATAAATTGGAGCTATATCGAGTTTGTTGATAATCAAGATGTATTGGATTTAATTGAAAAGGTATGTCAAATTTGACACCATTCCAAATCTCGTGCTTTACATTCAACTACCTTTTCTTTCGTTTTTTTTTTTGTGTGTGAGCTATGAACTAAAATCACTGGATCCTCTCCAGAAGCCCGGAGGGATTATTGCTCTTCTTGATGAGGCCTGGTATGCAACTTTGATTTATATTTTTCATTGCCAAACTATGATGTTCTAATATTTCTCTCCTTTAGGTGTTTCCTCGTGAATTAATTGTTCGTTTGTGGTTTCATGCAGTATGTTTCCCAAATCTACCCATGAAACATTTGCCCAGAAGTTGTACCAGACTTTTAAAAGCAACAAACGTTTTATCAAACCAAAGCTCTCTCGTACTGATTTTACTATATTACACTATGCAGGGGAGGTAAGTGTCAATTTAGTTCAATGTGCTAAATTATTGGAATCTGAATTTGTTCAAAGGTTAGAATCTGAATGAATTTGTAATCTTTCTGGTTTTAAAAGGTTGCCTACCAGGCCAATCTATTTCTGGAAAAAAATAAAGATTATGTGGTGGCTGAACATCAGGCATTGCTTACTGCCTCAAAGTGCCCATTTGCGGCAGGTTTATTCCCCCCACTTCCAGAAGAATCGTCCAAATCTTCTAAGTTTTCTTCTATTGGATCCCGTTTCAAGGTACTGGCATGGATTTTTTTAGCTTATGCTAAAAATAGAACAACTGTACTATAAATTCACTAAGATCCACGTATGTTACTGATATTACATGCATACCCCATGGCTAGTGACCACAAGCTCCCCTCATAGATGTCAAGGTTTAATATTGAATCATGTATGGCAATTCCATATATGTTCATCGGATAAGTTTTCCTCTTGAAATGCTTATGAGATTGTTATACTTTAATGCGAAGTTCAGCAATCATTATCTGCACTTAATATGTGCCCTGAAAACTTGAATATCTTTGGATCGGCATAGCTCTTGCGGAAACTTAATTTTAGGAGTTCAAGTTGGGACCATAATCAAGCTTAAACTCCGTATATTTGATAGATGAACTTCAGTCTTTGAATTTTTATGATGTTTTGGCAAAACAAGAAAAAGGGCTTATGAGGTTGCTTTTACTATTTAACACAAAATTTAGGAATCTTTGTTTGCAGTTAATAATTCCCTTTAGAACTTGGATATGTTTGCATGGTCATTGCTCCTGGAACTCAATTTTAGCAGTTCAAATGTGGACCATTATCAATCTCAATTCCAGGAGTTTAGATATGATTATGAAATGATATATCGCTTAAGCTGGTGCCCTTCTGGGTATGTTGCATGCATGTGGAAAGTTCTCTGGTAGGCTGTGAGTTGAAATGGACCATTCTCGAACAAGAAGATGTTTTCATTAAAAAAGAAGGAAACATTTATTTTTGTTAATAATAAAGGGAAAAATGGAAAGATGTATGTTTGTTATTCCTCAAGCCACTTTATGGCTAATTTGAAGGGTCAGAACTAAGGGATTTTAAGATACTAGGTTCTAATTTTTTCCTTTTTACCGAAAGAACACGTGGTTGCAAGTTTTGGGTTTTTGGGTTCATCTTATTTCAGCATGAACACTTTCTCTGTAATTATTATATGGGGTGGTACCCCCTTGTACCTTTCCACGAAACTATATATTAACCTTTCATATTAGAAAAGAAAAAGCTAACACATATGTTCCTTTGACAATTCCTTTGAGCTGATAATTGAACCAGAAAAGTCTGTTGAGTGTAAATATTGGTAAGAAAAAAAGCTGTACTTGTAGTCCAATTCCTGTCTTCTTTCTATGTTGAAACGGTGCTCATGGATCCAACATGTAGCTCAGGTCCAGTAATTCTACTTGACAAATTTTGTAGCTTTTACAAAGCACTGTTTTGATACTTTTACATTTATGACTTTTTTTTCCTGTTCTGAAAGTGATAATTATGCTTCAACTTCTTTTCTAGTCCATTATAGTGAAAAGTCTTGAATAAGTATATGTGCTCAAGGTCCTTTGAATTTGTTTCTCTAGAGGCGTTGTAACAAGAATGAAGGTCTTGCTGATATCTTTATACTTCTCGTGTGTGAGATTGAATGGTAGCTCTAGCGTTTTTTATAGTGGGAATCAGTTCCTCTGCAGCTTAAAACTAGCAATTGAAAGCATATTGTTGGATTGCTTAGTAGGTTTGAGAGGGTTGATGCCTCTCAACAATGTCATTTGAATCATGAGACTTCATTCCAAAATTTAGGAAGAAATTCTTTAGAATTAGTACAGCCATGTAAAGACTGATTGATTTCTCTAAACTTCATTTCCTATGTCGTAACCTCTCCAAGTTTTTTTTTCCTTAACTTTATCGTTGTAATAGTACTGATTTGATTCTGTTATTTTGAATTCGAATAGATTTATGTGGCAGCCATAGGTATAGGACGAATAACTCTTTTATCTGAAGATCGCACAACTTTAAAGGTTTTGGATGGGGAATGAGTTGACATGTGTACATTCTTGAAATGGCAGCTGCAACTTCATTCTCTAATGGAGACGCTGAGTTCGACTGAACCTCACTACATCAGATGCGTGAAGCCAAATAATGTTCTGAAACCTGGTATATTTGAAAACGTCAATGTCATCCAACAGTTACGTTGTGGTGTGAGTATACAATGAATTGCTTGAACTTCACTTTGTGTCCTGTCTGGACTTTTATTTTCAGTAATACCAATGTTATTGTCGATCTGTAATAGGGCGTCCTTGAGGCAATTAGGATAAGCTGTGCTGGATATCCTACCAGGCGTACCTTTTATGACTTTCTTGATCGCTTCAGTGTTCTATCTCCAGAAGTTTTAGAAGGGAAGTAAGTACCAAATCATGTATAATCACATAAATGCTTTCAAAAATCGGTTGAAGTTGGAGATCTTTGTTATGTATTTATTGCATATCAAAACATTTATAACGAGCCATCGTGTGGTTGTGTTGTCATTCAGCTACAATGATAAAGTTGCTTGTCAAATGATCCTTGATAAGAAGGGATTGAAAGGTTACCAGGTAATTGGGCGTTCCCTTTTTATCCTCCTTTATTACTTTTGGCATTGCCATATAATCTGATGTTTTGGCTAGTTTTGTTTGCTCTTTTATTTTGGATGCCGTTACAGACTTGTTTTGGCTAGTTGTCGAGAGAATAATGTGGGTGATGCTCTGTCATTTGGCTTCTTTTTAGGGTAACCCATAGCGTGCTTTTTACTCTTATTTGTCTATTTAGATGCTTAATTAGTTTGGTAAGGTTACATATGAACCATATACTATTTCGCTTGGTAGTTTATTGCTTGGCTTACCTTGTAATTGTTTTAGCTTGACCTTGCTCCTTCAAATTAAGATGACCAAACCATGGAACTCTTTGCTTGATCTCCCCCACTCACTTTGTCATATGCTTAGTTCAATTAAAACAAGTTGATCGATGTACCAAATGCTAGATTCTTTTTATCCCAATATTTCAATCCTGTACATTTGTGATCATTCTTAAGTTTAAATGTTAAAACAATAGGTCAGGGCTTTACCAAATTGATTAAGCTCTTGTTTTGTAATTACGGGAAACTATTAGTAACTTCATTTGAAAGATTCTTGTTATCAAAGACATGTTAATTTAATCATCAATTCTTGCTTAATGTCCATTTATCTTCTGGAAGTTCTTTTATATCCTACTTGATTATTGGTTTTTAAATTTGAAAAGTTTTCTTCTATTAAGTTCCTTACCTATGGTATGTCTTGACAGATGGGGAAGACCAAAGTTTTTCTCAGAGCAGGTCAAATGGCAGAGCTAGATGCTAGGAGGTCTGAGGTACTTGGAAATGCAGCCAGAACCATTCAGCTGCGAATACGAACTTATATGACACAAAAACAGTTTATTGCGTTACGTGAGGCTTCTATCACAATGCAGTCTTACTGCCGAGGTACTTTTCTTATTATTGCCTCAAATCAAACTTCCAGGCTATATTCGGTATATCTTTATTTTTTGTTTGTGGTGGGTCTAGATTTCACTGTCCATTACATTTGTGAAATCATCATAAGATCTTGAATAAGCTTGGAAATATCAGAGCTGCCCGATCTAATGGCAGGGGAAGTAAGTTGCTTGATATTTAATACTTTATGAATATCTTCTTTTTGGATTAATGTTAGGCGACCATTTGTTGCAAAAGTTAAGTTGTAACAAACAATAATGTAAAGCAAACATATGCGTAGACTCTTCCGGCGTAAACCGAGCCTTCCATGTGATATACAGGATATGGGTTTGACCACAACCAATGAACTAATGAGAGCACAAACACAACAATAAGAAAATAAGAAGAATAAACATCATCTGGAGTGTCAACACTCAAACTCTTGTTCTGTGCTCTAATACTTCATTGGGCGACCGTTTGTCCCTAAGGTTTAAGCTGTCAGGAGATGAGTTTGCGAATTATTCAAGCATATTCATGATCAAAGAGCAATAATGGCTTTTAAATATATTCTCTGATTTTGGTAATTCCAAGTGTATCTGTCCCTGCCCTATATTTTTGAAAAGTTGGATGTTTTGACTCTTCATATCACTCTATCCTTTCTGAATAGTCCATTTGCCCAATCTGAATTGCATTTTGTTTTACCTTTGCAGGCAGAATGGCTCGTGAACTTTACGAGCAGTTAAGAAGAGAAGCTGGTGCACTGAAGATCCAGAAGAATTTCAGGGCCTTCATTGCAAGAAAATCTCACTTGAAACTAAGGTCATGTGCTGTCGTATTGCAGACGGGATATAGGGGAATGATTGCTAGGAATGAGTTCAGATTCAGAAAACAGACCAAAGCTTCCGTCGTCATCCAGGTATTATTATGTCGAGTAAAATTTGCCTGTCCTGTGGTTGTCGCTACCGTAGTAGATTTGCTGTCTACTGTTTCCGTTGGCACATGGAACATTGATGGTTCAGTTGCTGAAAAATTTGCAAAAGTACAGAAGTAAAATGTCAAACTGGTGTCCTGCAGGCTCATTGGCGGTGTCACCAAGCATATTGTTATTATAAGAGTCTCCAGAAAGCTGCAATTGTTGCTCAATGTGGATGGAGAGGCAGAGTTGCAAGAAGAGAGCTCAGAAATCTCAGAATGGTTGGTCTAGTCAACAATGTTAATTTATACTTACAATAGTTGATTATTCTACAGCTCCAATGATGACTTAGGTTGACTTGTAATATTTTCTTGAAAATGTTGTCTAGGCTGCACGAGAAACCGGTGCTCTTAAAGAAGCAAAGGACAAGCTAGAAAAACGTGTTGAGGAGCTTACATGGCGTCTACAACTTGAAAAGCGATTAAGGGTGACATATTAATAATTTTCTGCAACCTGTGGGATTTTTTATTAACATGAGGTAGGGTTGATCCTATTAAACAAGCTTTCAATATGAGTTCGTGCTCTCTTTGTTTTGTGCAGATTGATCTTGAGGAGGCCAAAGCCCAGGAATTTGCCAAGTTGCAGGACACAATAAATGCTTTGCGATTAAAGGTGGAAGAAGCCAACTCTATGGTCATTAAAGAGCGAGAACTAGCCAGGAAGGCTATAGAAGAAGCACCTCCAGTTGTGAAGGAAACCCCTGTCATTGTTCAAGATACAGAAAAGATCAATTCATTGACAGCTGAGGTTGAAAAGTTTAAGGTAGATTGCTGGCTTGCTGAGGATTTTATATCTTTTTGGAAAATGACAGTTGATGGTGGTGGTATCCCGTTGGCATGCAATCACTTTTCTATTGATTTAAGAAAATTTTTCCTTTCTGCAAGTACAATTAAGCACATTTCAGATTGACAAAGAAAATTCTGGCAGAGATAAGGATCAATATTCAATTGAATTACTGATCATCATGCTTGATCTCATATCGTGGCTTCTAATCATCTAGTGACTTGTGTTTTTCTGTCTAGTTTAGTTTAACCTAATAAGTAAGCTTATATTTTTCCTTGTTGGTTAGGCTTTGTTGATAAAGGAGACACAAACAGCAGAGAATGCAAAAAAAGCTACTGCTCTTGCTGAGGCCAAAAACAGTGACTTGATTAAGAAGCTTGAGGATTCAGAGAAGAAGGCGGATGAACAACATATTTTAGTGCAGAGGTTTGTGAAAAAGATGCAGAATTTGACAATTTTTGAACACTTTAGTAGATTTAAATATAGTGTTCTTTTGTCTGTCTCCATCCCTTTTGTACCGTGTCGTTTGTACAATTTTCAGTGGTGTTAGTCAAGCACAAGTGCCTTGTGAAATTTAGTCATCCATCTTTTCTGAAAATTTGATTTTTATCTTTTGATTGCCGAAGCACATATTTATGATGGTCAAATTCTGCAACTTTGCATTTTGCCTTCTACTTCGCTTAACACCTGATTGCCGAAATGTGTTCTGCTATTGTCACATTCAAAACACCAAGTACGTTCTTTGGTTTTCAAACACCATATGATGAGACAACTTGACCATGAATGGGCTGTTATTAGATGTTATCATGACTTCTCACTAGAAGTTTTAGGTATCAGCTGAGGTATAAATATTCATGAAGTGGTTCAGTAGAAAATAGTTTCTGCTGTTGAACCCAGCATGATATGCTTGCTCTTGATGACATGTCTCATGTGTTTTTTTCATTAAGAGGTATTGCAATAGGGTTTTACTTAGCTATTGTCAGATGTGAGTGTCTATACGTGGGATAAATGTACGACAAAATGTAAAGTTTTGACCATGATTAGTTCCTGCTTTACAGGCTTGAAGAGAAGCTCTCTAATTTGGAATCAGAAAATCAGGTACTGCGCCAACAGGCACTCGTCATATCACCAGCTGGCAAAGCTGTGTCTGTGAGATCAAAGACAACAATCATTCAAGTATGAAAGGAGCCCCAAATTTAAATACTTACATTGTGTTAACTTATATAGGAAAACCAACCTGCGCCTTTTTTTTCATTTGCAGAGAAATCCAGAAAACAATACTGCTCTAAATGGAGAAATTCGAAAAGCTCTGGTAAGATTGAGTTCTTGGTTGAGATAAGTGCTATATCTGCATATCAAGACTGAAATTGTTTGATCATCTCTTTTTGAAGGCACAGGATTCGGTACTTTCTCTCCCTCCTTCACGGGAACCTGAGACAGAGGAAAAGCCACAGAAATCTCTCAATGAGAAGCAGCAGGTTTGTATGTGTATTTTTAGGCATGTATGAAGCAGGTTCTTCAATTTGATCAGCATGATTTCACCAAAATTTTGATATATTCTCAAGTTGTCATTTGCATTGATAATGTCTCTCATTATATATTCTTCCATGCTGCAGGAGAATCAAGATATCCTTATAAAGTGTATCTCGGAAGATCTAGGGTTCTCTGGGGGCAGGCCTGTTGCTGCTTGTCTCATATTCAAATGCCTTCTGCACTGGAGATCATTTGAAGTTGAGAGAACTGGGATTTTTGACCGTATCATTCAAACAATTGGCTCAGCAATTGAGGTGTGCTATAGTTATTTTCCTCCAAGGAGAACATTTTCCAAATTGCTTTAGGATGAGCTTGTGTTGATTCTGTTATAGTGTTAGTATAGTGAAACAAACTATACGAGTGAGTAATGTGTTTGTGTCGATATCATATGCCATCAACTTACCCCATCCAATTCTTACTTTAGGTGCAGGATAACAACGATGTATTGGCTTATTGGTTGTCCAATGCGTCAACGTTGCTGCTACTCTTACAGCGTACACTAAAGGCAAGTGGAGCGGCAAGCTTGACTCCACAGCGGCGAAGGACATCAGCTTCTCTATTTGGAAGGGTGTCTCAAGTAAGGACACAAACTTCTCTCCCTTTGCTTAGCTTTCAACAAAGGCTTCAAATGTGTCTATTTTCGTTTAGATTTCCTTCATTGTCTTCAATAGTAGAAAAGTTCTTTAGTCTTGACTAACTAATGTTAATGTATGACCATAGCTTCTGCCCTCGAAAAGGATATCAACATAAATTTGTCTTTGCTTTATATACCTAAAGTATCCCTCCAGATAATGGTTAAGCTTTTGGTTGGAAATTCTAACTACTACAAACACTCAGGGTCTACGAGCTTCTCCACAAAGTGTTGGATTCTCATTTCTTAATGGTCGGATGCTTGGTGGTGGCCCTGACAACTTGCGACAAGTTGAAGCCAAGTATCCAGCTTTGCTTTTCAAGCAACAACTTACAGCTTTTCTGGAGAAGATATATGGACTGATTAGAGATAATCTGAAGAAAGAGATCTCCCCCTTGCTGGGACAATGTATTCAGGTCATCCCTGATTCTTCCTTCGTTACAACAAGCTACCATGAGATTGATTATCCCCCTTGTGGAGTTTCCTGAGATAAAGAATTTTCTATCACTCGCAAAATCCCATTTTAGTTTTCTTTGATTGTACTAGTTTGTTAACTTGTGTTTGACTAAGGGAGCCTGGTTATCAAATGACAGTCTTTCCACATGAGAATTTCTGGCTGCTGCATCATAAGATGCTCTAATGGAACTTGGTAGTCTAAGGAATAGCTCATAATTTGTTTCTCTTATCAATGGAGCAACATAAATAATATGTGAACTGTCTTTCTCAATCAGATCTTTTATTAAACTAATCAAAATTGAGCTACCAACTGTTGTTGCATGGCCTGAATAGCGTGTAGCAAATACTGTCAACTTATGGTGAACAAAAAAGTCCAAAAGCATATAGAGTCAATTATGTTTCAGTGAGTCATGAACAGTACGGTCTATGTTATAGTCTCTGGTCTTTTAACATAGCTCTCCGCTGTACTTAAGAAGTACTTTTTGCAAGTGTAGGCACCTAGAACATCACGTGCTAGCATGGTGAAGGGGCGTTCTCAGGCCAATGCTGCTGCTCTTCAAGCTTTAATTGCTCATTGGAAAAGTATAGTGAACAGCCTAAACAATTGCTTGAAGACAATGAGAGCCAATTATGTGGGTGGAGTTTCCGAATTAGATGTCTTGAGATGCTGTCTTTATGGCATGACCTGCTTGAATGTTTTTGTATGTGCAGGTGCTGCCATTAATTGTCCGAAAGATTTTCACTCAGATATTTTCATTTATTAATGTCCAATTATTTAACAGGTGGGTGCACTGAATACTCAAACCTGACCTGTTCCCTATAACTTTTGAAAAACTTAGACTGGATGTAGTAACAGTTGAAAACCCATATTTGCAGTCTTCTCTTGAGGCGTGAATGTTGCTCCTTTAGCAATGGGGAGTATGTAAAAACAGGGCTTGCTGAGTTGGATCAGTGGTGCCATGAGGCAACTGAGGAGGTGAATTTTCAAGAGTTAAGTGTTTTTTTTTTGTCTTTTGAGAATTCTATGATTTACATCTTCTCTACATTCAGTTTGTGGGATCAGCTTTGGATGAATTAAAGCACATCAGACAAGCAGTTGGCTTCCTGGTTGGTTCATCTCCTTTAATATCACCTCCTCATTGAGAAGTTCAATTTTCTATCAATCAGACTGACTTGACTTAAAATTTAATTTTCTCTGGAATTAGGTTATACATCAAAAACCAAAGAAGAGCTTGAAAGAGATTACCAATGATCTTTGTCCTGTGAGTACTTCTACCTGACAACCCCATCCAATCTCTCTCTCTCTCTCTCTCTCTGATGACACTTTCGTTGGAACTTTTTTCAGGTTCTTAGCATTCAGCAATTATACAGGATCAGTACAATGTACTGGGATGACAAATACGGCACCCATAGTGTATCGACAGATGTAAGTTTTGTGCTCTAGACAGATTGTATATCTAGTTTGTCTTTTTCTTCAGGATTCTATGTTTAAGCCAAATAAACTACGGAAGTTTTCAGATCACCTTGTCGGTTTTCAGAATTAATCCAAAAAGGTTGTTGCTATAGTTTTCTTTAGTTTGCCATATGCTTTATGATGGGAACTAGCTGATTCTTGTAGGCTTGCTTTTATGGGTCTTAATTTACCGAACTCTTGTAGTCGCGGGATTGATTTGATCTGATATTTCACTCTGGCAGGTCATTTCAACGATGAGAGTTATGATGACAGAGGATTCCAACAACGCCGTAAGCAGTTCTTTCCTATTGGATGATGATTCGAGGTACCAAGACAGCCTCCAACTGGCACACATGCCTCGCAAAATCCATCCTTAATTTCGTGTCTCATTCTTGGTGATAATTAAGATGCGCGTTTCTCGTGCAGCATCCCGTTCACGGTGGAAGACATTTCAAAGTCGATCGAACAGATCGAAGTGCCTGAAATTGAACCTCCGCCTCTAATTCGTGCGAATTCAGGCTTTACGTTCTTGCTACAACGGGCAGAATGATTGTAGCTCCTATCACGAGGCTGCTCTTCCACTGCAAGATTGCTTCTGCTTCGTAAATGTAAATATGACCGCTGTTCATGGCTCTTTTGTACATGCATTCTTTTAATCTTTAAAAAAGCTCGGGTTGGTATCCGCCGCCCAGGTCATAGGCTGTCTTCTGTTTAGTTAGGCAGCAGCGGTGGCGTTTTTTTGGTCACTGCTGGTCTGTATTAAAGTGTCTGTACCATACATGTAGTTCTTGATATCTTGAAGATGGTCAAATATATATTCCTTTGTAAATTGTGCATCAGAGCAATATATTTTGATGCTTATACCCTAAACAAATAATAATGTTTAGCTTCATTAGCAGTGTTCAATCTCCTGTGAACGCTTTGGTTAGGTTGTTCAAGCAGTGCAGCTGAGAATCATAAAAATACTGAAGATGGATGTAGAAATCTAAAGCACGACTTGATTCACAAATACCGTATATATAATCTTCATTTTCTTTTTATAATTTTGACTTTAATGTTATATCTAAATTTTTTTTGAGTCAATCAAACCACAAAATCTACGTATGCACATTAATAATTCACCACAGAAAAATTATTCAATCTATAGATCATTCAAAAAAGAATCAATATGCTATAGGACGCTTCTTAAGTCATGTTGATAAACATTTTCCAAGTAATGCAAGTTAAAACTGGCTCGCTTTAACTCTTAACCGAAAACTTTTTCAGGTCTTTTTATGCAAAGTAATTAAAGTTAAGGGTTAATATAACAAAAAATCTCAAACTATTACATTTGTGACAAATTTACCTCAAATTTATTTTTTGACCACTAAAAATCTCACACTGGTGCATCCGTGACAAACCTTTTATTAGTTTAAGGGCTCATTTGGTTCGACTTTGGGAGAATGCCTTTGGCAAAATGCAAAGGCCTTTGTATTAAAATGGTTTTTTGAAATACATGTAGTGTTTGGTAAGTGTATTTTAAAATCATATTTGAAAGCAACTTTAGCCTAAATACCGTTTGGTAAAAACTATATGTTGTAAAGGGCTTTTGCTGATATTTAAAAAAAAAAAGAAGAAGCTTTAGGTGGAGCTTAGCCATTGGCAACGGTTGCCGGCCAGATCTAGTTGTCGGTCAATCGCTGATTGCCAAATCTAGTCGCCGGCCAGCCTCACCTGTCCTCAAGGGAAGCGGCCTGAGGTTGCGCAACCTCAAGCGTCGCTTGGGTAGCGCAACCTAGGCGACGCCTGAGATCCGGCGACCCCAGGCGGTGGTCGTCGAGGTCACGCTACCCTAGGTGACGGTCGCCAGGGTTGCGCTAGCCCTTAGGTGGTGGTTGCCGGCTGTTGGACCTGCTGCTTGGGAAAGATGAACAGTGCTATGAATAATGAGATGAACAGTAAACTTGCATTCCGAAAATGCAACTTGCCAAAGTACCTCCGGACTTGCCTTGGGCTAAAGGCTTTTAGGGCTCGTTTGGTTTAACTTTCCAAATGTTACTTGGGGGAATGTAAATACCTTTAGGTTAAAGCCCCTTGGGGAAATGCAAGTGGCATTTGGTAAAAAATCATTTGTAAAACTACTTTGGGGTAAGTAGTGTTTGACAAATTTTTTTTTTGCAAAAGAGCTTTGGGAATTATCTTTTTTATTAAAAAAAAAATCTACCCCACCCTTTGCCGAAGCCGGCAAAGGCCTACGGTCGCCGGCGAGCTAGATCTGGCGCTGGTGGCCGTCGCCCGAGTTCGAGCGACCCCCGGCGAGCCAGATTTGCCGCCGGCTGCCGTCACCTGAGGCAAGGTGACCCAGGCGATCGGCGCCTGGGTCACGCGACCTAGGCTGGCGGCGCTTGGGCGGTCGCGTGACCTCAGGCGGCCGTTGCCTGGGTCGTGCAACCTCGCCAGCCTCTCGCTAGCCCGATTCGGTGTCGGCCACCCTCGCTGCCCGCCTCATGAAGAAGATGAATAGTAACAAGAGGGGCAAAATCGGAATAAGCTAAAATAAGTGAGGATAGTTTGGGGACAAAAAATTTGGATTCAGCATTTGTGGAATGCCAAAAGCCCAAAGCTGGTTCAGACCAGCTTTGGGCTTTCGGCATTCCAAATGCTAGCATTTGGCCAATGCTAGGCCGAAAGCTGAATCAAACGGTTCAGCATTTTGGGAAGGGGCTTTCGAGGCCAAAAGCCCCTTCCCAAAGCTGAACCAAATGGGGCCTTAGCGTTCTTTGGAAATGCAATTGCATTTCCCCAAAGTGCTCCAAAAAAATTGCTAAGGTTGCGCATGGCAATCATTCTGTGTCCGGGAACAGATTCTGGTCAGAAATGATTCTTTTTGATTCTGTGCCCGGGAACTGATTCTGAGCATTTGAAGGTGTTTGGTAACGGCCCAAAATTTCTATTTCTGAAATAGTAAAAAACAGAAATGCGTTTGGTAACGGCATAAAATTTCTTTTTATTAATAATATTTTAATAACTTTTAAATATTTTAATATTTCTTTCTTTTCTTTTTTTCTTCTCCTCCTTCTTGGCCATGGCTGGTAAAATATTTTTAATTAATAATACTTTTACTAAAAATATTTTTCTTAATTTTTTTGGCCATGGCCGGTAAAAAATTTTCTTATAAATAATTTTTTTATTAATAATTTTTTTAAAAATATTTTACTAAAAATCTTTTTTTTTCGCCATGGCCTGGTCGCTGGCCATGGCCGGAAAAATATTTTTTATTAAAATATTTTTTTATTGATAATATTTTAATAAAAAATATTTTTATTGAAATTATTTTTTTTATTTTTTTTTGCCATGGCCTAGTCGCTGGCCATGGCCGGTAAAATATTTTTTTATAAATAATTTTTTTATTAATAATTTTTTAATAAAAAATATTTTTATGAAAAATATTTTTTTTATTTTTTTCGCCATGGCCTGGTCGCTGGCCATGGCTAGTAAATTTTTTTTATTAATAATAATATTTTATTTTATTTTTTCCATGGCCGGCAAATTTTTTTTTTATTAATAATAAATTTTTTTATTTTTTTTCGGCATGGCCTGGTCGCTGGCCAATGCCGATAATTTTTTTTTATTAATAATTTTTTTTATTAAAATATTTTAATCTCGCTAGATACGGCGAGGGTGGCCCTCGCGCCAGACATTAGAAGCTATATTAAAAATCAAGAAAAAGAAGAAGAAAAAAAAACTGATTCTCATTTTTGTTCCCAGAATCAAGAAGCTACTTTTTTTTAATTCTTGATTATGCTCCAAAACTGATTCTGGGCACAAATTTGCAAGAATTTGTGCCTAGAATCAAAAAATTAAACAAACGGATTTCTATTCCCAAACTGATTCCGGGAACAAAAGAACAGAATCAAACACTATTTGGCAAGTTGCCGTGCGCAGCCTAAATGCATTGCATTTGCTCAAGGGATTTTAGAGCCCCAATGCTCATTTCAAATGCTGAACCAAACGGGGCTTAAGTTGGATGGCACGTCGCAGTTAATAAGTGTACCAGTTTGGGGTTCTATCCCTCCGTTTGTTATATGTTTATCAATTTATGATTTTTCGAGAAATTAATCCAATTTAACAAAGGATAAATTTGTCGCAAGTGTATTGATTTGGGGATTTTGGTGGTCAATAAATTAGTTCGGAATAAATTTATCACATATGCATCAATTTGAGATTTTTCGTGGTATTAATTCTAAAATTTAATTCCAAACTCCTAATAATACCCATATCCAGGTCGGATCATCTGTCCGACAAGAAAAGGAGAATATATAAGAAGGAATAACCCGGCCCGACTCGACCCCCCACCGAAACGCCTTGCATGACAAACCCAATTCCGCCCCGCCCCCGCCCCCCCGCCCCCCCACGGCGCACAGCGAAAATACGTCTGCAATATAAAGGCGCGGTCGTTAAACCCTAAACCCTCGAAGCAGAAGCAGAAGCAGAAGCAGAAGCTGAAGAAGCAGAGAGAGAGCGGAAGCAGCTTCTGACTGTTCAAACACCTCAAAGCTGAAAGCTCTTGCTCACAAGCTTTGGGTCAGTTTGTCTATAACCGGCGGTAGAATTTTGCTAAAAATTTAGCAAACGAAGTTCTGGGTCATGCCTCTGGAGTCTGTATTGCCTTTCTTTCGTCCTTAGCTCCTGTGTTCCTATGGCCGGTGGTGGGATTGGCTAAGAATTCGCAAAACAAGCTCTGGGTCATGCCTCCGGAGTCCGTGTTGTCTTTCTTTCGTCCTTAGCTCTTGTGTTTCTATGTCCGGTGGTGGAATTTGCTAATAATTCGAAACCAAGTTCTGGGTCATGCCGCTGGAGTCTGTACTGTCTTTCCTTTGTCCTCAGTTCTTGTGTTCCTATTTAGTTTGCGTCCTTTGATCGCAGGGGATAAACTGGTTCGAGTGATCGGTCGGGCGGGGCATTCGAAGATTGATATCCCCCTGTTAAAGCCGGGAAACGCAGCATACCGCTTAAATTAATAGTCAATTTTGTAATAGATTCTTTTTTATTTTATTTTATTTTATTTCACCTTGTCGGTATACATTGTTAATACATACAGTGTTAGAGCTGAGATGGCGATAGATGGGAGTTTCAGTCTCGAATTTGCGCTCAGAAGGTTCCTGGCGCGCTGCCCTGAGCTCAGAAGCAGGCCGCGGTTCGCTATGCTAGCAAGGGAGGTAATCAAATCTACACTGCGAGACTTAAAGCTGATTTTCTTTAGGAATTTCGGAGTATTGGTGTGGTGATTTTGGTTTCTGTGCTTCCAGGGAAGTGTGTTACATGAGGATGAAGTGATCGTTTTGGTGGCGGATATATTTTTGCACCCTACTTACACAATCCCATTGATGGGGTGTTTCCGGCCCATAGCACGAAAAATTGTGGAAAAGGCGGTGTCATCCCTTCGACTTGTGACTAATTTAAGGTCCAATTCAAGTTCCATACAAAGAGAAGTTGACGAAGATAATGAAATTTTAAAAGGAGCAGAAGATTGTGATGGTAACCTTATTGATTGTTACGTTCGAAAGGGAAAGGGTTTGAATCTTCACGAGCTTGCTTGCCTGGGCTTCTGTCGCGCACTTGATTTGGCTCCTTTTTTGTTGGGGTATGTCAACATTTAGTTTTCTGGTTCATTGTATGTATAGTCCTACGTGCTGTGCTTTCCTTAACTCCACTTAATATTCATTTTGCTTGAACAAGAAGAGAATTAATTATTTTATTGTGGAGTTGTAATGTAGGTTCTGTATGATCCACCCCTAGTTTCTGGCTACAGTACATACTGAGGATAGGGAAGTGAGCTTCATGTTCATA